TTTATTGTAATATAATTTTAAAAATTAAAAATTTATATAAATCTATTATATATATATATTGAATATATAATTTATAAATAAACTTTTTATTTTATTAAAATAATTATTATAAAATGTTTAATAAAATATAATAAAATATTTTATACAATAATTTTTTTTCAAATTTATTCATATAAATTATTAGATATTGAGAAAATAACATTATTTTGTCTTGAAATTTCAATTTGGTTTTTCCTTATACAATCATGCAAATAAATCACTTTATTATTCCAAGAGACTGCATAATTGCTGATGGAAAAACCAGTTTGATACTATATGTATTAATAATTACAAAATTATATAATAAAATGATATCATCTATATTTATAGTATATTTACAGAAGTAAGAATTATATACAATTTGCCTTAATCAAAATAATATAATTTTTTATCATTCATATGCTTTACTTATTATGAATAATACAAAATTAAAAATTTATCTATTAATAATTATATTAATTTCTTGATTTTTTAATATAATTTTTTTTTAATAATGATTATTAGCAATAATTATTCTATTGAATATAATAATTAAAAAATATAATAATTAAAATTAAAGTAATTTTTTAAATTACTTTAAATTTTAAACTATAAACTTTAATATTTATTAATTGAAAGAATATAGGAAAAAAATTAAATTTTACAGATTCTATAAAAATGTTTTGGCAGTGGTTCCATATTTTTTTTTTATCCTGCATAATATTAAATGTTACTGCAGAATCGTACGTATATATGAATTTTATTTATTTTATTAAATATTGAATTAAAATATATATAAATATGATAAACATAGGTTACAAATATTATATTATCAAATATTTTTTAAAATTAATAATCTAAAATACTTTGGTATTTTATATCATGATATTTATAATATATTTTTAAAATATATCACATTTTTTATGATATATTTTTTAAGATATTACAGCATAATAGCTCCAAAGGTAATACGAGCTGATTCTGAATATCATGTAGCTGTAAGTACTACTGGTGTATCAACACCATCAACAATATATATTGAACTGAATGGATTACTTGATAATGGAGAAATATTCAATGTATCTCAAGTTATACGTGTACAACCATATATGACAAGAATTTTACAATTTGAGGTAAATATTTAAATTTATTTATATTTTACATATTTATAATTTATTTATATTTTACTTTTTTATATTTTAGTTATAATATTTTATTTACATATAATTTTATTTATTAGATTTTTTTTTAATTTAGATTGGTGATATTATTCCTGGCAAATATCAATTAATTGCACGTGGTTTGTCAGGAATAGAATTTTCAAATTCTAAATCAATAGATTATGTTCTCAAAAGTTATTCAGTTTTTATTCAAACTGATAGAGCAATTTATAAACCAGGAAATAAAGTTATGTTTCGCTGTATTTTATTGAATTCTAGACTTAGACCTACACTTGAAAGATTAGTAGATATTTATATTACAGTAAGTATTTTTAAACAAATAATATATATAAAAAAACATTTTTGAATTTACATTATATCATTATAGGATGGAAAAGGAAATAGAATTAAACAGTGGATTCGCCCACCTGTAACTCATGGAATTTTCAATGGAGAAATTGAACTATCTGAATTTCCAGTTTTAGGTACTTGGAAAATTACAGCTAATGTTGGAGATCAAACATTTGAAAAAGATTTTGAAGTTGCTGAATATGTATTACCTAATTTTGAAGTAACAATTGATGCTTCTAAACATTTTACATTTAAAGAATCAAAAATTACTGCAACAATTTATGCCAAGTAAGTGGATTCTAATAAATAAATAATTTATAATTTAATAAATACATAATTTTTCATAATTTTCAAAAATTAGATTTAATTTATATCACTTCCACAGTTATATCATTCATGTTATTTAATACATGATGTAATTATATTAATGTTCGAATATATTATTTACTATATTATCTACTATATTATCTATAACTATATTATCATTTAATTGGTACTTTTTATAAAACATTAATATCGCGTTTTATAATTTAATATCACGTTTTTTTATAATATAAAAATATAAATCATTTATTAATCTTGATAAAATTTTTAATGAAACCATTTTTCCTAAAAAATAAATATTTGGATATTTTATGATAAATAATAATAAAATTATGAAATATAATAATAAAATAATGAAATATATGACAAATAATATAATATAATAAATAATAATATAATAAAATAATATGAAATTAATATTTTATAA